ATGAGATAACCGTGATGACTTCAAGTTAATAGATTACTTATACCCTTCTTATATGAGATTTTCACAAACAATACTAAATGAGTTTTCATGGTAAGTCACGTCTAGTGATATATTCTCTAATATTATTCACTTGAGTGCTTGTTTTAGCATCATTATGTTAGTAGGTGTGAGATCTTCTATTGCTCTTTTATATAGAAAAGCATAGCTCTCACAAGTCTTATTGCATATTGTCAATGTCTAATCTCGATACTACTATGACTTGGGACATATAATGATATCATTTGTGTGCATTGATGTTTGTCTCACGTCTATTGATCAATCATTAATACGAGTGCATATCGTATGAACTTTCATCTAATTCTATCAAATTATAAATGACAAGAATTAATAAAAAAGACTTCTTTATTAATATTTAAATAATATAATATAATAAATCAAACCCTCCAAACAAGTTGGATCTAGGAAACCTATACCGATATAAATCTATTGCCTATACTCCCATTAGATGTTCTTTAATAAGCAAACAATTTATCTTGATTGGATTTTTTTGCCGACTTGGTTTTCATGATTTCTTCAACTTGTAGGGTCCGTTGGGGGGAATAGCCTATGGTGTTTGTAAAAACTAAACCCTTAGAATAAAACCTAGTGCTCCTTGACCGGTATGCAATGACCACGATGACATTTGATCATTCAATAGAGGAACGAGATGATGACCTTTTTATTCAAACTTATTCCTTACTTGAAGTATCTTCCTTAGAGGGTAGCACTTGCGATGCTTGCTCAAACCGACTTTTCCCCTCATGGTGTCGATCTCCTCTTGATGGCTTATTTCGAACCCTTTCTTGGTTTTTTATTTCTTATTGAACTTTGATGTTGAGGAGAGTTGAGCTTTTATTAAGTACAACCTATATTTTTTAAAATCTATTTATTCTCACAAAGCAATATATACAATGAATATAAATGAAAGAAAAAATATATGCAATAATGTGAATTAGGTTAGATACGTTGCTTTACTGTTGCAGCCTTCAAATCATGATAGAGTTTATACCGAGGACGGGTTAGATCGGATTAATACTCACGGTGGGTATGACCCTATAGATATTTTAGGCAATTTGGAAAACATATCTACCCTACATCAAATTTTTCTTTGATAATTTTTTTTTGTTGGAACCTTCGATGATGAGTGTATCTTGCGACAACATACACATAAGAATTTAAAATTTGAATATCTAGCACATTCTAAATGTGACTTAGAACCATCATTCAAGGACAAAAATAATACAGCTTTTTACATTACAATGATTATTCTTTTTTTACAACCAGTTAGATTATATTACAACTAGAAAGATTCTTTTTTTTTTTTAACTTTTTACAATCCCCGGCTCGGACTTGAGGTAATAGAGGCTAAGTAGTTTCGTATCTTGTATGAGCTCATCTTCGGTGGTGTAATCATTACTTTTAAGTTCCCTTTTTTGTAGCTTTGGCTCAAAATTTAAGGTTAGATAATCTTCCTCCAATTGAGCCCATTCGATCCGGTCTTAAAATTCTCGATAGCATTCTTTGTCATGATTTATTTAGATGATAAATTATAAAAATAAGGGTTAGAATAGAGAAATCTTGCAAAAATATTTTGTGTCTTAACGAGTCCACCTTAACAAATAGGATCTAGCTTTTCTAGGGTTTAGGTAAAATTTATCTAATCCCGAAGTCTTTTCAAGTCTCGATTATTTACATTACTAGTGAGGTAATTCAGCATTTAACCTTATGCACTAGGAGGTATGAGAAGCTCATTCCATAATTTCCTATACATGGGGTGAGTTTCGGTCTAAATAAGAGTCCATACGAGCATAAACTTTTGTTATACTTGCCTTCGATTCTCTCTATCTAAATCCTATTAGGGTTTTAGATTGGGTCTAGAGCTTCGTAGGTTTTTTTTTTTTTTGTGGTGTGTGCAACAATAAAAAAGATATATCCAACCTAGTTCATAAAATAAATATGTATAAAAATTAAAATGCAAGGAAAATAAATTACATAAACTAAATTAAATTAAATAAACACGAAGTAAATACTTGGAAATAATGAACTTGGATATAAATAGCAAAAATAAATAAGGGAGATAAACTTTAAAAAGACTAGACTTATGACTTAACTCTAAATCCCTAGTGGATTCATCATTCTGTTGCTATTCGACTTCGAATGGGACTCCTAAAATTTATTAATTTTATTTATGATTTATTTTTATGAAAATTCATTTATTTAGGGATATGAGTTATTTATTAATTTCAAAGTCACCACCTAGTAATAAAGGAACTAGGAACCAAAAATGAGCGAGTGATTCGGAGATTTGTGGGTAAGGAGTTGATTATGCTTTTGAAAGATATCAACCATCCAAAGGTACCATTTCCTAAGAAAGATACCCCATCTAGTTTAGTCTTAAGGTTTATCTTCTAAAAAATATCTATTTTTGTCAAGATTAATCTAAGTTAAAATTTCAAGTTTTAATGTCGAACTAAGTTTTTTATTTTTATTTGTGACAACATGTTAAATCAATCATCCGACCCCTCTTTCGGACATCTCATCAATTCAATATTGAATCTAGTTAAAGTCTCAACATAATCGATATGTCGCAGAACAACTTGATTACTAAAATTATTGAGTTGAGTTAATATCGGTTCCTATTAGATAGGAGATTTAGTAAATTTTTCTTAGCTTTTTCTATGTTTTTGCTTTTCTTTTGCTTTTTTTTTTTATTATCTTCCTAGCACTTTCTCTTTTCTTTTTCCCCCCTTATCTTTTCCCTAGCATTTCTTTTTTCCTTTCTCTTTTTTTTTTCCTAGCATTTCTTCTTCTTCTTTTTTTAATCTTTTTCCTAACATTTCTATTTTTTCTTTTTTTTTCTTTTCCTTAGCATTTTTTTTAATCTTTTCCTAACATTTTTTCTAGCATTTATTTTTTTTTAGCATTCTTTTCTCATATTTTTTTGGCACTTTTTTTTATTGGTGAAAAATTGTCACCGATCCCTAAAAATTGAGAGACTTGATAAATCATCCATCAATTAATTACCTAAATCAATTATTGAAATACATTGTAAAATTAAATAGTGACTAAACAATTTAAAGAAATTGAAAATACTAAATTTCAATGAAAAAAAGAGGCATACATAATTTAAGTTTTCTAACACAAATAAAATTAACATTATTACAAAATAATTAATATCATAAAGTAATTAAAAATAAATAGGTGAGAGAAACAAACCAAATGATCGTTAAAGAGTGATCAAAATGTCCCCGGAATGCTATTGGAAATGACCAAAATGCCTTTTGAAGGAAAAATTACCAAACTACCGAGAGGAAAAATTATAGAATTGCGCCTCAAAACCCTCACACTACTTTTGAGATGCTCGATCGTCGTCTAGTGACCTTTCAAAAATGTGAACCAGCCCGCTTAGTGGGATAGAGGCTACTCTACCGTTTTATAGTCGTGGCTTAGGTCATCGTTGATGGAAGACGGAGATCAACGACCTTGAAGTTCGGCCTAGTCTCCCTCTTTTCTCTCTTCGATTTTGGTATGGGTACTTGATTCTAAAGCTCTAAATCAACCAAATATGTTCCTAAGACTCGGTAGAACGTTTCTTTAGCCTTTAATCGAGGTAATTCGGTCAAAAAATGGCGATTGAAATGGATCGAGTAAATGGGTCAAACGGGGTTGGCCAAAACTTCTCTCTTTCAATTTGGCTGATTTTGATGAGTTTTCACCGAGATTTCAAAGGGGAAATGCTCCAAGAGTGATGAGAGACGTTTCTTTGGTAGTGTTTGCTCTTGATTTAGTGGAAAAGAACCAATCTCGTAAGGAAAAGAAACAATTCAATTGGATCTTCTCACCTTCGATCACCAACCATGTCTTGTGTTTTTTTATCATAGTTTTAAAGAGTCTTGTTTAGCCTTGAGTGGGAAATAAATGCGGGTTATTATGGGGTTTTGATTTGGCCGGGAATTGGTCAATTTGTGGAAGAACACGAACGGGTCTTCCTACCGGTACGCGAGTTGGATGGGTTGATTTAGGTTGTTCTTAAGGGTTGTTTGGTAGTTTTCTAAATGGGTGATTTGTGTAGAGGTTTTTTGGGTGGTTGGTGGTGGCAAGAATTGTTGTGGTAGAATTAAGGTAGATGGATGGAGGGTAGTCGAAAATTTGGTGAAGATGGGGGCTAGATTTTTTTTTTTTTTTTTAGTAGGGTAATGATTGTGGAGGTCACCCTAAAAACGAAGGGAAATGGTCTTTATATAGGGGAGTTTTAGAGTTTGAGGGATAAGCCATCTCCTTAATTCCTTTTCTTCACTTTTTTTAATTAAAAATGAAGAATAATTAAAAACCTAGAAATTTATAATAAAAAAATAGCTAAAAATCATGAAAAAAAATAAATTATGCGATATGCTATTTTTTTTAATTTTAATTTGTATGAAAATAAACAGAGCGTCAAAATGTGGTACATTTTGAATAAAAGTTTGGCTTTTTATTTCTAATTTTTTTTTAAGAAAAAAAATTTGGCAATAATTGGAAGGGAGGGATCTTTCATTAATCGGATTTGATAATACGGCTCTTTCATCTATTACTTCTTAGTTATGTTAGCTTTCAATGCCATAGGTTATTGTAAAAATAAGACAATTTGCCACTTGAAAGGCCAATTTTAACTCTTGATATTATCAAAGATCTATTCTAAACAGATAAATTCAATTATTATCATTGTTATTAATAAAATACTATTTTGTATTTTAAAAAAATATTTGATCAAACAAAATTATACTATTCTAAGACGGAAAATCTTCCTATTTAGGTCACAAATAACGTGTATGCCTTAGGAATTTTCGTTCCATAAAATTGAGGACTAAAACTTGAATTTGTACGGATGCTCGTTATTGGCATGACAGGATCCTATAAATCAAATCAAATCAATTTTAAGAGTAAAAAAAGTACTTATAAATTATTCTAATTAGGAGATATACCCACAAATTCTTCCGTATGTACAAGATGTGACGAGGAGATAACCACTTGTAAAACTTCAACCATTGCAGATGATTTGGAGAAATCTTTTATTACATTGGCTGGATTTAAGATCATAGATATTTTATAATAATACGTAGTGTTTATCTATTTTAACTGTTTCATTAGTAGTAAGGTTAGAAGGAATAATTCGACCAATTTTAATAAATTGATTTTTTTTTGAGAAATTTAATAAATTGAATTAATTTGATCCAAGTTAAGGTAAAAGATTTTGCTCATATCAAAAACTCGTACAATTCAATTTTTTTTTATTAAGACTTTTAATTTTTTTATTTAATTTAAGAGTTTTACTCTTATGTTATTGTTTTAAATCCTAATATGTCACGTAAGTACACGTGGCAAACTCGTATAAAAAGCTCTAATTGATGACAACTTGTCATATGTCATGAAGGGCTTAAATTGGATTTTAATAAAAATAAATAAAAAAATTATGTTTTTATATTGTAAGTCGTTATTAGTTAAAATTTGTCATCTGTGCTTGTGTGACGCATTAAGATTTGAAATAATTATAATATAAAAATAAAAATTTTAAATTTGACCAAAAGAAAAATTTAAGGTTTCAATAAAAAATCTGATTTGTGTGAAATTTTAAAATGCTTGGATGTTAAAGTAAATGATACAATCATATAAGCTGGAATAGTTTGGCATACTAGCAATTGTATATCAGTAAACATTTTTCGTAAAGCAAATTAGAGTTTCGATTTATATAATTATTATATTATGGAAGAAAACTATCCCATTGTATGGTTTAAGACCCAAACTACCTCCAAATTATTGGGGGAAAAAGTATTTGATTGGCGAAATATAAAATAGAGGGACTGCGCGTGAGTTTTAAGCCCCACCTAGCTAGCTATGAAGAGAATTTGGAATCTTGATGGACACCATAGACCCATATTTCAGATCTCACACCCTGACAAACCGTCTGCTCTTTTTGCCTCAATTATCACCTTATTTGACAGAACCTTCTGCTTTGGATAACTTTTGTCTCTCTGCCAACTATAAGGCACCATGTTTCCTTCACACCAAAAGGGCAAGTTGTTCTTCAAGATTTCCTCCAGTCCCTACTAACAAGACACAATCCCACTAGATCTTATCCTGGTTCATGCACCGATGGATGCCAGCAATAATCTAACTGACAGCAATCAGATGGCAAAAAGCCAAAGGAGAGAGCTCGTTTCTAGTCATAATAATAAGACTATCATTGCTGATCACACCAAGAGGATTATGCATAGAGATATTGAAAGACAAAGGAGACAAGAGATGACCCACCTTTGCACTTCCCTTCGAAATCTACTCCCTCTTGAATATATCAAGGTAGATAATTAATACTTGTCTTTCTTGTTTCTTTTAAACCTAGTTAGTGACCTCAATTATGTGAAGATTAGTGGGGTTTAATTGTTTTTAGGGTTTTGTTTGTGGGGGTTTCAGGGAAAACGTGCAGTATCAGATCACGTGCAAGAAGCTGTGAATTATATAAAAGACCTAGAAAAGAATATTGAAGAACTTGGTATCAAGAGAGACGAGCTGAAAAACCTGTCCAATTTGAGAGTTCTTGGTTCGAATCGCGAAACCTCGAATAATTGTGCACCAATTTGTGAAGTAATTGTTCGCTCATGCTTGGTTGGTGTTGAAGTTGTTATTATTAGTGACTTTGAGGAACAATTTGTTCTCTCAAGAATGATGCAAGTGCTACTTAAAGAAGGACTCAATGTTATTAGCTGTGTTTCGGCCAAAGTAAATCAAAGATTAATGCATACAATTCTATCCGAGGTACCTCATTCCTAGCTAGTTCATTGATATCTAGGTGAATTTGGGGTTTTGTTTTAATTTGTTTTCAAGTTGCTATCCAAGTACGTGGAAGTTGTGTTTTTATGGTTGCAAGTGTAATAGTTCTTTGGCTTTGCTTCACAGGTTGGGGGCTTGAGATGCATTGATACGATGGAACTGAAAAAGAAACTAATGGAAACGATTTAACTAGTGAGTAAATCTTCCTGGCCAATACAAACATATATTGGGGACAAATTTCTTCAGCACACCGACTATCATCTGATTTTCACTTGAAGATGTGAGGTTGGTTTTTTTTTTTTTTTTTTCATGGCGTGGTTGTATAAATACTTCATCATTAGGTCCCCTTTTTCTTTTTTTCCCTAGATCCACTTTCTTGTAATGTTAAAACGGTAGGTCTTTTCATTATAGACTTCCCCATAAAATATAACAATTGGTTTCTAGAAATCAAGTTCAGCATAGACTGTGCCTGTTATTGCAATTGCAGAAGCAGGAGGCATTGAGTGTGATATTGTATTTTCCTTATTCTTGATATCATCCTCTTTGTGTAATTAAAGTGTGCATACACATAGAGATGCAACCATTTGATGGTGCTATATTAAATAATCATTAAATATTTATGATTTCAATTCTTTTCTTTTGTTAGAAGGATATATCATTTCAATTTAAGAACATGAGAAGCAAAATATGGCTGTGTTATATGCAGGTCCCTAAGAAGAAAAAGTTGTTTCATTATGTGTTAATTGTTTCTTAGTGCTTGATACGATCGAGTTGCTATTGTAGTAGTCCTATGATATTGGAGGTTGTGGGACAAAATGATCTATGCCCTTTCATTCATTCTACCTTTTATCTGGAAAAAAAAAAAATTCTACTTGGCATGAGTCTGGTAATCCAATGCTATAATCGGTATCGATATTTTACCGATGTATTGTAGTAATCTCTATCTACTTGATATCAATAACGATAGATTTATGATCTTGAATTGAGTCATTAGTGATTTTGATAGTGTAGTTGTAGCAAATCCTCGTAATGTAGCTTGTTCAAGATCAATGAAAAATATTAATCCAATTTATGATGCTATAAAACTAGTTGGTCTCATGATTTAATCCTTTTAGCCATATAATTGATCATGTAAATAGATATTATGCATGTTAATTAATATAACTATAAAGTCCATTGTCTCCTCAACTATGAGAATGAATCTTTCCTTCTTTGACAATTGCTAGAGGATATTGAAGAGACTTTGCCACTTTGGATGAGCATTTCTTGGAAGGTTCACTTAGTTGTGACTATTTATTTGGATAGAAGATGCTTTCTATAAGTTTTAAAAATATGCAAGTGGTATTTCTGTCCGTATATGGACGAAGAGTTTTATTTAGTGAAGAGGTGGAAATTAAATAAAAGTCGCTATGGATAAGATCTGTTCACATTTCTATTGATTGTTTTGTTCATATCTTGGGTCAGTGCTGGAATAAGACAACTGATCATATATCTAATGCCCCAACGACGATATCTTAGGTTAGTTAGTCTAAGGACTATTAAAAGGGAAATCAAAGGGGTGACAGAATGTCCAATGTGAGAATGGAACAATGTTTGTTGTTAGTGTGCAGATAACAATTTTTTGTTTTCTTACATTTTATTAAAAAGGAAAGCTTTTTATAATTAATGTCTCCATTGTGTTTTTGTTTGACAATTATTTATTTGTTTATTCTTTTGTACTTGCAGCAGTTTTTCTTGATATGTAACAACCCACTTCTTGTGGTCAAATCTTCAATTGATATCAGATTAATTATTATAATTAATGTTCTTTCATATATGCTTAGCCTTTATAGAATTAGATACCATGTTTCTATTGAAAATTACAAGTTTCTTCGTTATGAAATCTCATACATGTAACGCGTCTATACTGAAACGGACATTTCACATGGCCCTTCTTTTTTTTTAAAAAAAAACTTAGATGCTATATTCAGGTGTGTTTTTGCACACTGAGATTAATTCTAATATGAATGATCTCTTTACTTTACTCGTTGCCTTGCAGATCATAGCTGTCAATTTCGTTTTGTTCTAGTTGAAATAGAGAATCATGCCTGATTTTTTTAATCTATGCTTTTTATCTTCATGCCTAGTTTAAACGGTTGAAACTGTCATAACCCAATTTTGGATTTTCTTTTTAAAAAAAAACACAAAAAATCAAAAAAAAAAGCAAAAAAGGAAAAAAATATTAAACCTCCCTAAAATCTTTCACAAATCTATTAAAATCTTTTACAAATCTTTTTAAATTTGAATCTTCTTATTTTTAGCTAAACAATCTCAAAATTAAGATTTGTCAATTTAAATTTGATTTTTGAATTGATTTCGGGAGAAATTTTAGGATGTTTTTGGCTTATAAAAAGCTTTGGAATTCCAATTTGCAAAAAAAAAAAAAAAAAAAAAAAAACGTAGCCAAAAAAAAAAAAACAAGAAAAAAAGAAAAAATATTGAAAACCTAAAAAGAAAAAGCCAAACACGCCCTAACCCCATAACCATACCCGATTATCCGTTTACCCAGTAGAAATTTTTGAGCCTCGATTGATTGTTTTCCGATCGGATTTTGACCACGATCAACATACCCAAGTGTAGCCCATCACTAGATTGGTCCATCAACACCGGTTGAGAGAGAAACAATCACGGAGGAGAGAGAAATCGAGAGATCAAGCTGCAAAACCCAACCCAAAACAAATACCCATTTGTTTCTCTCAAATTCGATCACCAACACAAGAACCACCACCACATAGCCGATCACCAGTCTCCCCGAGTGTTTTCATATGAATATCTCGACCCAACGACACCGAAAAACGATCTAATTGAGCTCAATCCGTTTTCGATCCGTTTTGGAAAACCCAAAAAAATTGGCCGATCTAGACGTCGTTGAAGGTTCTAACTACCGCGGACATCTTCCTCTCGACCTTGTGAGTCGATCGATGGGTTTGGAATCTCGATAAGAGTTCGGATTCATCACCGGTGAAGAAGGGAGATCCGACCGAACCTTTGGAGGCTCCGATCTCCCTCCTCCGGCGTCATCTCCGATTGGAACCACCACCATCGGAGTCGCAATGGCCGGATCTACAAGGCTGGGTGGTCCACGCGCCGAACGGTCACCAAAAATGAACGGTCACTTGGCGGTGACTCTTGGTATTCCAGGGGCATTTTGATAATTTTACGGTGTATGTGAATTTTTGACCTTTTTTTTTTTATTTTTTAATGTGTTTTGTAATAATTTTTTTTGTCTTATGCATGTTCGAAAATCCAGAGCTATTTAGTTGTGGAATTTATTCTAATATGTGATTTTTTTTTATGTGATTAAAATATTGGATCAACGAGTCTCCTATTTATTAGGGACGGACGGTGATTTTAATACATTTAATTTCTAGTTGATTTCGAGTTAGTTAAAATCTTAGCTTTTTTATTATTATTAAGAAAATAAAAAAAACTAGAAAAAAATATATATCAAAATTTTCGACGAAGCCTCCTATTTGATAGGGGCTAACGTCACCAAAAATCACCTTTTAATTAAGACGTCCTTCGATACGCTGGTTGTGTTAAGGCTTAAAGTAGATCCAATGTTTGAATCGACGTGTCGCCCGACGAAGGGGACCGACGATCGTTTCAATACAATGCCACGCTCAAAACTAAAAAATTCAATTTGTTTAAAAAATGGGAGATTAAGAGTCGGAAAATAATTTGACATTTTAGGAGATAAATTTAGAGCTAAAACCATACGTGGTACCTTTCTTCGGAAATGGCGCTTTTGGGTGATCAACATCTTCCCAAAAGCGTAACCAACTCCTTACCATAGAATCTCCGAACCAATGTCCGTTTTAGGTTCCTAGTTCCTTCAATACTAGGTGGCGACTCGCAAACTCTATAAATAAACTTGTAAATATAATATCTAATTTTAGATATTTTCGAGGAGTCCCGTCGGATGTCGGGTAGCGACCGAATGGCGACTCCACTAGGGAGTAGAGTTAGGCCATAGGTTTAGTTTCTAATTTATCTCCTACGTTTATTTTTGTCAATTTATTTTCCGAGTTTTATTTATTTATTGATTTGTTTGTGTATATGTGTAAATTTTTATCATTTATTTTTCTTTTCGCTACACGTTTATTTTGAATTGGGTTGAATGCTTTTTCTTTTAAGCTGTTGCACACACCACGAAGGAAAACCCTAAAAGCTCGGACCCGAGCTAAACCCTAATAGGAATTAGATAGAGTGATTTGGAGACGAGTATGACGAAAGTCTACCGATGCTCTTTCAAACTTTCGTTTAGATCGAAACTCACCCTATACATTGGAAATGATGGAATAACCTTCCCCTACCTCCTAACGTATAAGGTTAGAGGCTAGATTACCCCACCGGTAATTGAGGCGATCTAGAGGCTTGAAAATCTTTAGGACTAGTCAAGCTTTGCCCAACCATAGAAAAGCTAGATCTTGTCTATTAGGGTTGACCCGATTAAGACACGAATCATTATCAAATTATGTCGATACTAACCCTTGGTATTCTAAGGGTATTTTTGTAATTTTTAATGAAGGTTATCCTTCGTGTTAAATCATGACCAAAGAAGTCGAAATGAGGTCGAGGATTTTAGATCGGATTTGAGCGGGCCCAAAATGATGAAGGAGATTGTCCGCCCTTAAATTTCATGTCGAGACTCGCAAAAAGTTTCGCCCTTCGTGTGCTCATAATAAGAGTAGTTTCATCATTCCAAAATCAAGTCAAGACTGAAATTGAGGACATACATATCTCCCTAATCGCCCAAGTATCTATGGGGTAATTTTGCCCTCGGCGAGTACTAGCTTGATCCGATCTATGTTCGACAAGATTCTATCACGATTTAATATGCAACAAATAAAAGAAAGGTATCCAACCCAGTTCAAAATCATGCATTTGCATTAAATATTTATTTGTATATATTTCTTTTGTATTACCGAGTGAAGTAAACATAGGCCCTCTCCACTTAATCCCCTCCGCGCATCTACAACACTCGACTTCGGGCTTGCCAAATGGAGAATGATGAAAGACCACGACAAGAGCCAATTAGCCAGCAAGAGTTTGACTCGTTGAAAGAAAGTGTGGCTCGAATGACTTTCTTGTTAGAGCAAGCATTAAAAGGGAGAGGTAGCTTGAATCAAGGACAACCCGAAGTACGA